TCCCCAAAAGAGCTGATGTTTTTGGCTGGTCGTCTTGTGGGTTTTTGGGGGGAGGAGGGGGGATTTGAGGGAAGAGAAAAGGTCTATATAGAATTACTGAACAGGCCTACACTAAAACTCTTCCTTGACCGATGAGGATGGGGGCTGGAGGAGAGATGAGGTGGAACAACTGAAGTGTAATAATATCTGTGTAGTTTTAAAAAATGAACAAACTCTTCTCCCGTCCCCGGTCCCCCACCCCGTATGTGCTGGTACCTCTGGATGGTTCAGAAGCCATTTTAGAGCTCAGGAAGCAAAATATGTGAGTTCCACTTGTGCTTTTGCAGGTGCTGTGGTGGCAAGGATAACCTTTGCTTGCTTGCCGGGTGTGTTACCATGCTGTTATTTAATGTCTTTGAGGATTAAAGGCGGCACAGAAAATTCCAAACCCACATCCTAACACCTGAAGCTCGCACAATGTTTCTATAGCAGATGGCAAAACATTTCAGTGGAACCTTAATTTACCAAGACTATATGGAGATCTGTGGAGTTTTAAATCCCTTTGAAGCATCGCTGAAGATCCATACTCGATTTTCGAAACTGTTACACACTGAAAAAACAAGACCCCTTCTAGGTGTTTTGCACACCCTAGCCCTGCAATTCACGGTGTTTCAGGCTGAGGGTCTTTCCAAATGAACGTTCATTTTCAGTCCTGAACGTCTAGTAATTTTAAGGGAGAAGGGGGGCAAAACCATCGGGCAACTTTTCGAATAGTCTAAGGGGCTAAGAAACCAGAGAGGCATTTGCCTCCTCGCAGTTGGACGCGAGACTCAGAGCCCGGCTGTCCTCAGCTGTCATGGGGGGCGGGGGATGGGAGTGCTGGCATTGGCGTTGGGCACCAGTTGCTCCAGCCGCCCCGCCGCGTCCCGCCGCCAGCTCACCTCTGCGGAGAGCTAGGCACTCACCGGCCCGCTTGCCCCTGCGCCCACGCCGCCCTCCGGCCCCAGTACTCAGGCACAGGTCGCCGGAACCATCCAGTAGGATGGCTGCCGCCTCCTCGGGGACCGATGCCGGAGGGCCAGCTCCCGGGGCGCTGCGGCGGCGGCCGGG